CTTCCTCATCTTCAGCTGGAACTTCCTCGGCTTCAGTTTGTGCCCATTGCCCCTTGTCCTGTCGCTGGGCACCACTGAAAAGAGTCTGGCCCCGTCCTCCTGACACCCACCCTGCAGATATTTATAAGCATTTCTAAGGTCCCCTCTCAGCCTTCTCTTCTCCAGGCTGAACAAGCCCAGCTCCCTCAGCCTTTTCTCGTAGGAGAGATGCTCCAGTCCCCTCATCATCCTCGTAGCCCTTTTACTACATTACTAACTACACCTGCTAACATACACGGTTGTATCAATGTATCTATACCTAAAGATGTTACTGTAAAGGTGCCTCATGGTGGTATGGCAGAGACCCCTTTCTGTAGAAAAACGGGCTGTGTGGGAGGAAGTAACTTTCCACTGGCGTACCAGCATGGACGGCAGGAGAGTTGTACTTTCTCGGCAATATTGGTGTCAGTAACTTCCAATCATTAGATACGTGAGTGCAGATTTATACAGCAAGATAAAAATGTCTTGGCTCTGCTCTGTCCCTTTGCTAAACATTCCTAACGTTTGCTTTTTTAACTGCCATGAAGCCCTGTAGCTCCAGTTGCTCGTACAGAGCTCTTCTGTTGTGTTTTAAGGATCTGTGAAAGGCCTTACCTTCGTTAGAGGTTCTGTTTGGTTGGCTGGTGAGAGCAGAATTTTTACCACGTTTGAAGCTAGGGGATTGCTTTTAGCTCTAGAAGAAGCTGTAGGTGTAACTCAGGCACCTGTGACACCACAACTTGATCTTCCTCCCTGCAAGCAGCCCTGTGCGAGCGCGCTGGAGTCCTGGAGCAGACAGTGCTGGTCCCTCTGCGTACGCCAGCCTGCTGCTCTCAGCAGAGATCTCTGTCAGGCTTTGTCTTCGCACTGTCAACGCAAGAAGGAGGGAGTGCAGTTGGGTCATGTGCAGGCTGGTAAATAAAAAAGTGAAAACCAAGCCCTCTGGTCAGATTCCAAGACACACACCAAAAGTTTCGCCAATCCCTGGACAATTATTTACCACAGAGTACCCAGTAATAGCAGGCACCTGTTTTAAAGCCACCAAAAGAAAGTACTTGCCCACTGTTCACTCCTCTACACAGAGAATATGAAGTTGTAGAGCTCGTTCTTTAGAAAGGCCAAGAGTATGAATGGGTTAAAGAGCAGAACAGAGTGGAAAAAGGACATGGAAAAGGCTGATAAATATGCTCATCTGGATGCAGCCCCTAGCCACAGAAATGCTCAAGCCGCAGAGTTTCTGAAGCTGGGAGGATCCAGCCGGGGACAGATCGCTTTGCATGTGTCCCGTTTCTATTGCTTTTTCCTCCAAGCCACTGTTAGCAGCCACCGTCTGAGATGGATGGCATCAGAAGGGTCTTTGGTCTGACCCAGAAGGGGCTGTTACAAGTTTGTATAGCAGGGAGAAGAGCAGCTTTAGCCTTTCGTTTTCTGTGGGATTGCAGTGATTTATACCAGGGCTTCAACGTGTTTTATGCTGGCTAACTTTATAGACTTCTCATGCCAGTTGACAGGAGTATGCTGACTTTTGTCCTGGCATAATATTGTTAAAAACAGCCTTTGTTTTCTAGGGAGCAGGATCTTCTGTCTGTTAACTTGGGAAAAAACCATATTATTCTGCTTGTGCAATATTAGGTGTCTGTTTCAGTCCAGTGATAGTACTGAAATGTCTGTAGCAAAGGTAGAACGTATGATTGTGCATGTGGCCTTTGTGTTGTGCAGTAACACACTGCTTGTTTTACTTTTGTTTCCTGAATAGGGAAGAGGACAAGAACATTTTTGATTACTGCAGAGAAAACAACATTGACTATGTAACCAAAGCCATTCGATCAAAAAAAGTGGATGTGAATGTCACAGATGAGGAGGTATGGAGAGAAAGATAAAGACCATCAAACTTTGAACTGTTTGATGTATTAATTCAGTGCTGCTCCTTTTCAAAATTCCCCGGTTAATATTGTTATAACAAGGTACTACAACAGTCGGGCAAGCACTTGGTCATTGAGAAGAGGGATAATCTGTTTGAAAATAGTTTTCCACTGTATTTCTGGTAGTGTTGGTGTGCTAAATATGATGCTGTAGCATATCAGAAACTTACTTTCTGTGTTATTTTCAGCAACGCCAGCAGCCACTTGCAGAATAAGATCTTCAGAATACGCCCCTTTCCCCACATGGTATGCTAAATATGGTCAGATAGAAGTAGGAAGTGAGGGAAATGGCTTGTTTGACCGGTGAGCTCTGTTCATGAGTGAAGTGGGATTTCTGCCCTGCCATCTGCTTTTTCATCATTCCCAGGTGGAGGGCAAATGGGTGATGCTGGCTTTACAGCTTCACAAATGCAGTGGCATCATTCAGTCTCTCCCTGCTCGTCAGACTTAAAACACTGTTTCCCTATTTAGGGAGATAATGCAGGCATTGCTGGAAAATTCAAGAAAAAGAGAAGTGTGTAAAATTGTGAGTTGGCTCGATCCTTTTCTTGGTAAGAGTGAACACCCGGTGTGGAGAGCGTCCTGTTCATCCTTCAGCAAACGCAGCGGTACCAGCTTCGTGGCCTTGGCTTCGGTGCTTGCATGCTGCCACCTAGCCCTGCTCCTGCTCCGGCAGGTGCACAGCTACTTTTGCCCGCCGCTCTCCAGCACATTGTGTTTCGGTGAACAGATGAAGTGCTTACACATTCATAGACTGAGACGCCACAAATTCAGTTGGGTTCTCCTGTAGCTCTAAGCAGATTTCTGCCCTCTGAGCCATGACAACCCTGGCTGGGGCTTTGAATGCTGATGGCAGGGCCTTTTATTATTAATCGGGAATTCATGTGAATTAATTTTCGGAGGAGAGGAGGGAGGGTGTTCACAATCAGGGTTGGAATTTCACATCATAAATCCAATGAACTGAAACTGTCATGTGCCACACGGTCGCTGCGACAGTGCTGTTACTGAGCTCCATCCCTCCTTCTGCCGAGCACAGGTTACAGAAGTGAATGTCCAGGGCAGTCCCACAGAACACGGCTGCAGTCCTTTCATTAGTAAAAGCTCATTTTTTGGGATCACACATTTGCAGTAGGTGTATAAAAACATCACATTAGCAGTGCTTCATTTTCACTGGCAAGATGCTCTGTCATAGTTAGCAGCTTTCAGAAGCTCGTATGTTCCTTTGTGTTCAAGCAACAAATGTGCTTGTTTTCAGCCAAAGAAACTTTGTTTTTTTAAAAAATCAAAACGTTTGGGGAAAGGTGGATGAAATATTTTGGTGCTCTAACAATGTAAATGTTTAGAGCCAGATCTGAAAACCGCCAGGTGACACCCTCTTTGGGAGTTGTCCATAGTCTGATGTAAGAGAAAACCTGTTTCTGAACTAATGGGCATCAGCATGTGTCTGTTGCAGGGTATGGAATTGCTTCAGCACAGTAAGAGCTAAAAACCCTGCCTACCTGTGAAGGGCTCGTGGCAAAATTCGCACTGGTGCAAAATTCCCCCAGAGATGACATTCTTGCAGTCTCAGTGATTTGGCTTACCCCAGCAAGTGCTGGCTTCCTTAGGCTTGACTCTGACTGGTCCGAAAAAAAAATCAGCGCAAAGTTTCTTTGGCTGAAAACAAGCACATTTGCATCTTGCCAGTGAATCTGAAAGAAACACTTATTTCATGTTGTGTTAAGGAGCTGAAACCATTAGCAGTGTTGTTGCGTATCCAAACGTGTTCTTCACAGGCTGGAGGGTAGCTTATTTTCCAATATCATGCAGGTTGATTGAAGTTTTAGAACCCAATTTAGACTAGAGATAACCCAGGGCGAGCCTTTGGTAGAGTTAAGTGTATGCAAGCATAATCTTGTCATTTTTATGAACTATTTTAGTGTTACTGTATAAATACATCCTGCCATATCCAAAAGATGCCTCTCCTAGCCCTCTGAACATAACTCACGCTGTCAGTCCTTTGATTTAAATGCATATAAATTTCAAATGGCAGCAGGGATACATACGAGGAGTGAACTGGTTATGGAACAAAATCTGCTGGAGCACCAGCCAGTCCTGCGCTGAGCTGCAAGGACACGAGGCTCAGCCTTTCCTTGTACAAAAAGACTTGACTGAGGATGTAAGGTGTTTAGATTTTATTTCAGTGTGATATCTAATTGTACCCCCTCGCTTTGTGCAAACCTGAAATGAGCTAGCCAAAGGAGAAAAGAAACCAAGAGGGAAAACGTAAAGTGGGGACGAGCAACTTCCTCGAAGCAGAAGGATTTCAGGAAGGGCAGTAGGAGTCTCCGAGGTTTAGACAGATGCACTTGGCAACTTCCAAAGCATAAGCAGCCTTCTCCCTGCAAGAAATAAAACCCTTCATGTACAGCATACAAGCCAGCATACCTGCTAACAGGTTGGATGTAATAAACTTCAATTTAGAATTAAACAAAGAATCTAATGACAGTAATCATGTCCGAGCTTCCATTTACAGTATCTAAATTGCCCGGAGTTCAACAGAATAGCTTGGATGCACTTAGAAGAAGTAGCACAGACTGAAAAAAACCCCACTGTTTCTCTTATGTATGTCAGCAGGACTAATGAAATAAGAAATGGTCTGTGGCTGTGAAGTCGCCACAGGCACGTCCTGGTAGTGGGGAGTGCTTGCTGCCTTTTTGAGAACAATATTTCTGAGAATTTTAACAACCCAGAAGCTGCTCACAGGCGTAGATGAGTTGCTTTTGTAATTTGTGCCAAGGGCTGCGGAGGTTGTAGATAGTGAATTTTTTTTTTTATCGTTGGAGAAATTCCAGTAAACAAACGTGTTACCTGTGAGCAGTATTTAAGCCTTTGCCAAAACTTTAATGAAAGGCATCTGAAATGACTCTCGCTCAGTCCGCGATCCTCATGCTTTTGAGACAGCAAGTGCCAAACTGGTGCCAGCGTGCCAAGGGAAAGACAGGGGAGAAAGAATGGGTTGGAAGAAGGATTGTATACTTCTGGATTTGCAGGCTTACTCCCATTGGAAAAACTTCCCCAAATGTTTCGGAGCTCTGAAAGCAGTTGACTTCCAACTGGAGTTGGAGGTTTACCTGTTGGGTTGCAACAACGGCCCTTCGCTTCCATTTGCTGTTTTTGCTATCACGGGGGGATGCAGCCATTCTATACATATATCTGTTCTTAATTACCGGTAATAAAACATTAGCCTCAAGTTAGTGGCTTTCAGGGCTCTACAGCCATTACGGCTGCAAACAGCGTGCCTAGAAGTATAGCTTAATGGTGTAGCGCATCCATTCCGTTTGGCTTTGTTCTCCTCTTTCTCTGCACTGGCTAATGGATGGGAAAATCATTCCCATCCGTTTGTCTGCTGAGGCTCGGTGCATCTGAGACAAATCCCTGTCCTGTGCTTTGTTTGTGAACACCCTGTGACTTGGAGCTGAGCAAAATTGATGTGCTGTTGGCTTGAGAAACTGCTGCAGGAGCTGGCCAAGCTGGCAGCAGTTAGCCAAGCAAAGCACAGAAGATTTAAGAGGCAGGGTTAGTGCACTGGGGCTATTTTTATGCTTTTTTATTATTATTATTAAATACTTCAAAGGCAAGGGAAAATGCATCCTCTCAAGTAACTTGTGCAGCGACTGCTGTGTGTTTGAATTGCAGGGAGGGAGTACCTTGATGTTTGATTGCGTTTAGTCAAGACCTCGCTACTGCAGTGCTTTCCGATGCGAAATGATTCCAGTTGCTTGGAGTCTGTCGCTGCTCCTTGGAATAGTCGTACGGGAAGCGCTCTGGGAGAGCCCAGGCTGTGGCTCCAAAGATTTCTGCCATGGCACTCAAGCACACAAACGCGTGTTGTATGCGGATGTAACGCAGCAGCTGTGCAAACTAAAGAATTTTTCAACATACGGAGGTGATATCCGTGCTATACGAGGAGCTGGATTGTACAGTCAGTTGAAGTTTGTCTTATTGCTGAGGTTTGTTTTAAGGAAGACATGGGCAACAAGTGGACTTGTAGCTGTATAGCTGCCGAAGTACATAAGCTAGAACCCCTGAGCGGTTTAGTTTGCCTGACACTATGCAAACAGTAGGGAATATTGTCTTGTTTTAAATGCAGGTTTCTTAGTAATGCTCCTTATTATACAGTAAATAGGTGGAGATTCTTCTGCAGGTGTTTCTATATCCCCATCAAATGGCGTGCTCCTGCACAGACGGTCTCCAAGGGCCCTTACGCCCTGTGTTTAGGGCGCAGCATGCTGCAAGGATGCAGACGTTTCTTGGGTGGAACGTGTCAGCTTTTAATGGTGCACAATTACAATGCAGAGCCATTTAAGGCACTAATTGGAAAATATTGTATCCATTTAGAATTGCAGAGAAAATATATAGGTAAGCAGAGTGTAATTACCCAAAGTGGAATTGGCCCAAGACTTGAAATCCATACTCCTGCAAGTAGCACAAGGAGATTTTTAATGACTGTAGGTGACCAGGCTTCAGTTTCTTGTCTTGTTCGAAAGGCAGCGTTTGCAGCAGACCCAGCCTGCCAGTGTCACGGGAAGGGACCGGCTGTGCGGTGCTGCGGTACCCCTGAGCTTGCGGATCTGGCAGCGCGGTTGCTCCCGAACTGTTGGTTTTCCTTTGTTGGCCTCGGCCAAGTTCAGCACTGATAAAAGGAGATTCTGCTTGTCCGGAGACAGATGCAAACCAACATAGTAAAGCTGCTGATCCGTAACGTGAATTTTGATATCAAGGATAGAAGTGCTTTCATTTTGTTCTGTAATTGCACAATAATTACACTTGCGTAACTACAATATTATTCCTCTACACATATATAAAGAAAGTGAAATCATCTGTTGAAGTATTTATTGCTATTGTGTGTATTGCAGATAGTGCATCTTTCTTTGGAGGTAAACATCTGTGGCACAAAAAAAGTTGGTATTTGTCCAACTGAAATCCAAAGTCTTAAGTAATTACCAGTCCAGACAAGAGTTAAGGATGCTAAACATGAATTAAAGATTTTTCCCATGTTTACCAATTGTTTTAAATTGTACTCTTTCTCTCTTTTAGACTTCGATAGTGGAATTGAGTGCAAGAACATCAATCATTAAATGGCCTGTGGATGTCATCAGTGCTTCCATAGAAAGCCATTGTCAGAAAATTCATTCTAATTCAAGGTTAATTAGTGTAACATTAAAATTATGTGTTACAAAAATTAATTACTCACTGGGTCAAAAAACGTGTTAAAAAGCTTACTGCTTAGTGTCTGAGATGGCGTTTCCTTCCTCCAGGCCCTGTCCTACCCCGGCTGCCCTGCCCAAGCGTACCCAGCAGAAGCCGCCTGAGCTTCGGTCGCAGGTGCCTTCTGCCCCTCCTGCTGTCTTGGCACCGTGGTTGGGAAATTTGGCTCACGGTTCCCATTAGCAGAGAAATGAGTTGCTCACCTTGTTCCCCACTGCTCCACCGAGAGATTTATAACCAGGCGTGCGCTAATTTAACCGATTTCATCTGTGAAGGTCTGCAGCTGTTTTGTGTAGCGTACTGGAAAACACGGGGCAGTCTGACGGTGCCGCAGCTCCAGGGGTGGTTTCTTGGTTATCTGCAGGGTGATTTCCAAGGAATCCCCTGCAAGTGTGCCACGTGCTTTCCTAAAGCAGGAGAGACTGATACCAACAGCAAGGTGGATTTGCCAACTGTGCGTAGTAAACAAAGAAGAAAACCTCCCGTCTCAAACTACTTGGGGCTGCCTTCCTCTTTGGAGTTACCAATGTATAAAATCTTCCACCGTTCATAGCGAATGTCTTAGAGCTGCTGGTCGAAAGGCTCTGTTACTGCTTTGAATGCATTTGTGTGCTGTAAGAAGACGAGCCCACCGGCCTCGGCACAGGGCTGTTAAAGTGCGTGGCACTGTATCGCAGCTCTGCTGTCACGTCCTGTGGCAGGAGCAAGCGTCACATTTTGCAGGCCTGGCTCTTCTAGCCCACAGTCGGAGCGGAGCCCCTGAATCCAACCCCGAAAGCTTGGCTCACTGCTTCCATAGCTCTATCCGAGGCCAGCTGGGTTTTCGGATATGGGGTCGTAAGCTACTTCGCGTGTCCTTGACGGGCTGGAAGATCTGGGCCCCCATTACATCCCCTCCCATGGGGTCAGAGAGACTTCAGGTGTGCAGGGACTCGTTGGGAGGGGATGGGAAGAAAACTGCGGAGCTTTGGGAGCGGCTGGAGGCATGGATGGCAGCAACAACCTGCATGGCAGTGCCGAGAAGGGAACGGTCGTGGGTGATGCCTGCCCAGACACCCAGTTTTAATCTTCTGTTGCAGCAGAGGCAGGGCCCATGGGCTGAGCGTTGCCAGAGGAAAGGGCGTCTGGGGACTTGGCGGCCGGGTGGCTTAGGCGGTGTTGAAAATCTTACCCTTACTGTGGAAGTCGTTGCTCCCAGAAAAAATCCCACATCTATATAGGAAAACAAATCATGTCATGGCTCCTGCTTTTCGTGCTTTGCTGCTTTTCCCCTCGAAATTTTTTGCTGGCTTACGGGTTTGGTGCTAAATTAATGGAAAGTTGAGCTGTGTGTCACTTTTAACATTTCTACTGTTATTCTGGAAGTCAAAATCAGGAGCAATAGTATGTTACGTACTAATACTAGTGTGGTTTTTTTACAAAGTCTGTGTTAATTTTGTTATTGGTACTCCATTCTTAATAGCAGGACAGTGATTTTTCTGTGCCTTTTTTTTTTTTTTTTCTGGCTGGCTTTATTAATTTTCTCCTGGATATTGCAGGGCCGGGCTCTGCTCCACTGGGCGTGCGACAGGGGACACAAGGAGCTGGTTTCAGTACTGTTACAGCACGCTGCGGATGTGAACGGCCAGGTAAGAAAGGAATAAACAGTTGGATTTGACTGAAGTGTTACGTAGCCTCCTGACCAAATGTTTTGCATGAAACTGAACTCTTCTGAAATTCCATAGCAAGTCCACTCAGGGTACTTATCACAGAGAAGAACATCCAAAAAAGGTAACCTGGTAAAAATAACAGAATTTCATTGCGCGAAAGACATAAGGGGCCTTTTTCAGTTCCTG